ACACACACACACACACACACACACACACACACACACAAAGTTCTGCTATGATCCTAGTGATTCCTGCCTGTTCATGCCGAATGCCCCTAGCGGTTCCATAGATCTCTTTCGTTAGTTTTCCATCACCACCAAACGCGACGCCGTGAATTTTTTCACCTGTTCGACGGCTTCTCCGTTCTTTATCTTCAGAGCGTAATGGAGATTGAGCTCTTCTTCTTAAACACGTTCAACCGCATGATCGATAGGTCGCATTCGGCTGGAAATCGTTCAACAAACAACCCAGACCTCCACGAAAAAGGCCTGTGAAAGACGAACTAAAATATTGGCGCTATTCAATCGCGCGACTGACAAATTTGTTAGCGATGCGCGTAAGTGAACGATCTTCTTGCATTTTTTAAAATTTTTGACTGATAATTTTTTCAGACCGATATCCGCCAGCATTTAGACTATTCTTTCTTGATGTAGCAGTAATATTGCACTTTAAAAACACGGTGGAAACGGCTTTGATGAAGCTGTAAACGAGCTTAAAGACGTTTTAGTAGGACGAATGCTTCGAGACTGTATTTGAGCACAACAAATACGGCTGTTTTGATAGTATCAACCTCCCTATCCTCTCTGATGGTTCGATCCTTCCGTGTCGTACTGCTATGCCAGCTCAGTACGCCGATTAACTTCACGGTCAACGAGGTCATTGCTCCTAGGTACTTTAAATAATTCATCGTAGTACCATCCCGTGCGAACTTTGGGCTGACAGTCACAGCATATCGATAGTCTTTGTACCGATAATCTAATTGTTCCGTATAATATTGTCTCCTTGGCACTGATTTGTAGCCCCAATCTAATAGCATTGACGCACACCCATTCGGCGATTGTCAACAAACGGTAGCTTTGCGGCTGCATGCCAATGGTACATTCAATCCGTTTGGAATACAGCCGGATATCCGAAATGCGTTGCTGTGAGTGGGTCAGTAACTAATTGCAATTTCCACTGACAACCTTGAACAAATCCGATAATGAATTTTCAATTCTGAGGGCATTTTAGGAAACGTTAGTCTTCTTTAGATCAAGCATAATCAAATTCGCCTGGGTGTGTCTCTCTACTAACCTAGCGATTGATAAAGTTTATTTAGCCGAAATGTTATGTTTGGAAAAATCCTGACGTTGTTGAAAGTCTTTAGATATTTTTGGCACAGAGAGTAATCAGGGGCTGATTCTTGTAAAACCTGGACCTTTCTAATTCTAACTGTAGAAGGAAATTGTCGTTTCGGTAAAGGTCTAGGCTATTAAATGAAATGAAATTCTCCTGCATCAACTTTAAGATAATGGTTTCAATTGTAATGAAATTATTGTTTTATTGCTGCTAGTTAGCCGATAACAGTTTAAAAACTTTAAAACTGATCCTGCCGACTTATTCTACAGACTAACTGATGAAATCTTGCAACATCTTTAGTCAATTATAAAAGCATTCATTTGCTAATTAGGTGTCAGTTTGAGTTATTTTGGTCGTCTTTGTGTTTTTCGGATTTATCTTATATTCGCCGCTTGGTTTGACTAAGATGAATTGCTTTCTAGTGTAAGGCGTTAAGCGGACTATTTTTTGCTAAACTGAGAAACTTGATAATCGCTTGCCGTGGGCTTCGCTGTTGGCGTTTTTTTTGGCTTATCGGATGAACCCTGTTGGAACTTGCAACTTCGAGACAGGTTTTAGATGATAAAGAGAGATCGAATATGGCGCGAAAGTGATAAGGAGGCGGCTAAAGCGTATTTACGTTCCTACCAAGTTGTTTCATCAGCTTTCGGCATTTTTCGGACAGTTTGTAACTGAGCTAAAGACTCTTGTGTTCTGTACTTAGCTTTCGTTCCTTCGATTTTTAAGTTATTTGTTTTTAAAGCTTATGCCCCCTCTTTACCCTTATTTTGAATAAATAATTTTGGAACGACGTTGGTTCAGGTGTTCAGGAACCAGGTTTATATACAAACCGAGCGGGATAAATTGGTGATATTCTCTACGAACCATTGCGTATTATTTTGTAGTCTTCACTTTTGACTTCTCTTCAGGAACCGTATAGTGAAACTAAGTTACTATGGATTATGTAACTGACTAATGTAAAGAGCTACAGCACTGATATTTTTTCATAAATTTTCTGCTGCTGCAAGACCAGATCTGGCGCGAAAGTGATAAAGAGATGGCTAAAGTGTGACCTCAAGGTTTCCAAATTATAAAACATTTGGCAGATGTCGAAAATGATCGATTGACTGTCAGCCGTTCTTTGAACGAAACGAACTCACTGATTAATCGAGTTCTATACTGACTGCACTTTGACTGCTGTCATTTGTGCTGTCACCAATTCGTTACCCGTGCAAGTGTTTAACGACTTTTATGGAGCGAGAAAGTTTCCGATCAACCAAACAGCAATGTTGTACTATGAACTATTCGAGAAGGCTGATGATAATTTAGAGATTTTCCAATAGAGGAACGAGACAAGAGGGCTGATCTGCAGCACACGGTAAGTAGTGCTATACAACGTCTAGTTTGTTTTAGCAAGTGCCAAGAAACGACGGTTGAGTCGCATAGAGCAACATTGGCTTCGATTAATAGGGGACATATTTTATTGACAGCTTAAATGATTGAAAAAGCTGAACTCTTTATCCAGTTGTCATTACACGCGACTCTGCCTATGCGACGGTGTTTCCGATGTTTGCTATGCTTTAACCAGCTCTCAGACAGGGATGTTGCGGTTAGCAGCTATTGAATGAGTGTCTGCAACAATGACGGTTCGCCCCTTCGTTTTCACTTTATTGTTCCCTCCCGTTCCCCAGCCAGTTTTCGGCCTGTTGCACAGCAATGAACGCTACTCAATCGGTTCCGCACTGGTTAAGGTCAACGCACACTTAACGACGACTATCAGTGGGGTATTCAGAACAGCCTCATTTACAAATCGATCAGTCTCAATCGATGCCTCACAATACAGAAGACTGTTCGTTAACTCCGCTGGAATGAAACTTTCTGGCACCAGGCTCAGTTACTTATGATGCTGTTAACTGGCTTGACGGTTTGTGCATTTGGTAGATAAGTAAATGCATACATTCACATTAGAATTTAATTCACTATCACCATCCGTTTAAAGGTCAGAAACCATAGTACGATTCTTAATGTGTGAATGATGAACAGTTTCGTCCATACCCGTTAGCATATATTTAGCGCCTTTTTCGGCTTCCTCCAGTTTTCCTTACAGGACACAGCATTTTGTTATTCTCCAATTTTACATTTTATCCTATCATCTTATTGTAATTGATCAAAATCTCAGTAATAATTCTACAGTTTGTCTTAATCGTTTTAGTCAAATAGAGTATTACGAACTTTCTGCAACGTTTAAAATGGGAAGTAGACAGATATGTCAGTTTGTGTTTAGAGTAGCAGGCAGCAGTGCCATGAAGTCTAATCTGACCGAAGATCCGATGTACAAGCCGACGATTGAGAAATCTGCCGTCGGCAACGACGCTGGGTTGAAAGCGAGAATATCATTGTTCGATGGAATTATGGTTGTTGTTGGGTGTATCATCGGCAGTGGGATCTTTATTTCGCCTAAGGGTGTTCATGAAAGTAAGCGTTGCCGTTTCGTCTTCTTGTTCTTGTCTCTGACCGTTAGCATTCTTGTACTTAAGATGCCGGAAGTGTTGGTTTGTCGCTGATCATCTGGGTAGCCAGTGGACTGTTTTCAATGATGGGCGCCTATTGTTATGCAGAACTAGGAACGTTCATAACGAAGAGCGGCGGCGATTACACTTATGTGTACAGCGCGTTTGGTCCATTTCTGGCATTCATTCGCCTCTGGATCGAAGCTATCATCGTGAGGTGGGTCTACCCAAACTTTTGAATAGATAGTAGACCTTATTGAAATTGATATTAGATCACTTTTTCAGTTACACCAGTTCCGTTTCCCTTTTAGGCCATGCACTCTAACCGTGGTCGCACTTACCTTTTCCATTTATATTCTGCGACCGTTTTACCCAAACTGTGATGCTACGTACCCGGCACCGCAGATGATGGCTGTCGTTTGCTTGTGTAAGTATTCGTAAGAGCAACTGAAGCGTATATTCTACGTCATTTGCAGTGCTCCTGACAATGGTGAATATTATCAGCGTCAAGTGGGTGGCTTACGTACAGAATGTCTTCACGGTTGCGAAGCTGCTTGCGCTTGCCCTCATCATCCTCACGGGCATTGCTTTATTGTTCACTGGCGGAGGTCAGTTCATATATCTATGCGTCCGTTTGAAACGTGTTCTCTTCTAATCTGAACTCCGGTAACATCACAGTGAAACTGGTGAACTTTAGCTGTATTTTAGTTATGGACCTTTCAGTGGCGAAAGCCTCGTTTGCTACAGTTTAATCTAGATTATCTGGTTTGCATTTTCACTGTTTTTATATCTACGTTGTTTATTTTTGGTGTATATATATATAAACTATTTTTGTTTTTAAGTATTTCTCAGAGTAGCAAGCTTGTTCAGGGAATTGTTAACGTTGGCCATCAGAGGACAATTAATGCTGTTTGGTAGAAACGAAAATGAAAGCTTCAGCCATCAATAAACTAAAATATCGGTAGCGATTGAATTCTAGCAATGCATTTGAAGAAGGCATAAAATCTGCATGAATTTCGAAGGCATTTCTGAGCTTCTTTTCTGTTTAAACAAACTTATGTACCTCTAGCTATTCCTTGCTTCCTTTATTGGTCCCATTGTTCACTTTTCGAACTGCACTGCTAGCAGTTACAAAAATGTTTGCATTCTTAAGCTTTTATGGTTGTATATTTAAATGGTTCATTTTGGGTTCAGTGGTTTGTCTGTCCTATGCAACACTTCTAATGCTAAGTATTACCTTCAGATCATCTGACGAATTTTCAAGCTCCATTTGAAGGCACGGTCACGAACCCAGGAAAAATAGCTCTGGCATTCTATTCTGGACTTTGGGCATATAACGGATGGTAAGCTGTTTTTCTGGCAGAAGTACCCCAGAAGGTAGTAGTTTATAATATTTGGGTTGTTATTGCCATCTGTTTTGCTAATCTTCAAGAAAACTATAGGTTTCAGTGCAGGCATTAAAGACATGCAGTTCCTCCTGTTGTAAATATTTTCGTAGATGGTATCGTTCCGTAACGCGTATATATCCAGTAAAGAGTTCTTTAAAAGGAAATAAAATTGTTTTGAAGAAAAGCTTGCTCCTCCTTTGGGTTGTTTTATCATACTACCATCAGACTTGCTGTCTTAGTTTTTTGATTACTTCCTCAAAGACAACAGGATCAGCTCCTGTGCCATTCTGTACATAACGTTGTTGAAAAGAGTTAGTCTAATCTCATTAGTTTCGTTCTCTATGTTAGTTCAGGATCATTATATGATTCCATTCATGGGCATGCACTGACTGCTGTTATAAGTTAGGATAAGCTGTTCACTGATACACCCATTCATCTGTTCGAAAGATTAATCAAAACTTCATTTCACAGTTGATCATTCATCTTTCTTCCGAGGTCAGTGAATGAGGGTCACTTCGTGAAAAGAAAATATTGGAGTGCGCATTATGCCATACATTGTAATTTACTATTATACTATGCAGTACTGTCGGACAGCGGTAGATATTTTTGCACATTAATGTATTCCTTGCTGATGGCATCTTAACGGAGATCTTAATGGAGATCATGTGATCCTTAAAAAATGACCCTTCATGACCTTCGGCATTTTCACCAATAAGCATTAATCCGTTATTCAGAAATACTCTCTATCCAAGCAGTTCTTTCACCCGGCTTGTCTTCTTTTTGTGTATGCACTATGGCAAATAGATTCTCCTTCAGTCTTCTTGATGCTTATACTGCTGGCCAAGTAATTTAAGAGGTAACATTAGTGAATTAATCGATAATCATCTTTCATGTATTTTATTCGAATAATTTCCACTTCACTTGTTGACCTAATTTTTTTATTTATCTGTTTTTCATCATATTTTTGTATTCTGTTTTACCAACTGTTAGTAGTAATATTCATGTTGTCAATTCTGAAATCGGCTTCATCAAAACTGAACAGTTCGAATTCGGTGCTAACTGAATTCAGATTTAAACGTGTTTAAGATTACCAGTGACTACTCAAATAAAATTTTTTGTAGCTCAGTCATACCTTCATTTATTATCTAATGAACATTATGTAGATGTACAAAAGTTTATGATCCATGTAAACTGCCAAATTCGAAACTAATATTTATTTTAGGAACTACTTGAATTTCATTACGGAAGAATTGCAAAATCCCATAAGGTAAACCTTTATCTGATACTTTTGTCATTTTTAAAGTAATATTTGTTAACAAAAAGGTTTTTCTTTGTTTCAGCTAAGTGTTTACAGTTATTAACGTAAAAGTGGTGTTTGTTGAAGACTACCGGGGAACTAAGTTCGTGAGTCGCAACATGTAAGTGTATGAAAGGGTATCTGATAAAGTCTGAGAATTGTGGTCTATATCAATGAAAACCAATTTGGCTTTATACCAGATCACACAAAGATATAGACGCCTTTTTACTGTGTGGTCAAATGTTAAAACATGAAAAATCTACGAGATCCTCTGATTTTAAAGTGCCAAAAATGTCATTGTAGCAAAACATAAAAGAAGTTATGTACCGCTAGGTCCACATGTTTATATTTCAAACTGCCGTACCAGAAGTTCAATATATTTGAGTCGTATGGCTGTCGATCTACTCCACTGTAGCAGCTGAACTCCTCGAAAATATGAATGTTCATTTGAATGGCAATGTCAGCAGGAGAGCCTACATCTGATGACTGATGGAACTTCTTGCTGTCGTTAGATGATGTTCAGATTAGACTCAGCCAGTGATGTTCACAATTTTTCTTACAAAACCTTTACCAGGAAGAACTCCTACAAAAAGATGAGAGTGTTGGCATATATAGAAAAACAATAAAGTACTGAAACGTCCTTTTGTAATTCTCGTCGCGTTATTTAATGGCATCAAGAA